GGACATCCTTACGGACTGCCCAACCATGATCTTAGCATCACATTACATCAATTTAGTCACTTGCATCACAATCAAGTACATCAATTACAATCAAACCCTTAGATTCAATTCCTTATCAATTACAACAATCATTAACTAGTATTTCAATACTATTAAGATTAATCTTATCCATATTATATTCCTTTTGTAAAACCCTACATATTTAGAGATATGTAGCAGCAAATTAATCTTCCAATGTAATACATAAATAATCATTTATGTATCTACACAATTAACACATGAGTAAAATGCCTATTTCACACAATAGTTCATTTAACTCCATTTTTATCAATACTTTACCAAATCATTTCCCATTTCATTCTTTGGAAAATAGATCAATATTCCATCAATAATTTATCATCATAATCCATGGAAAACATGATTTAGGCATTTAGGTAATCTCATGCTTAACCTACAAGTTGTAAGCAACTAGATGTCGATCCTCACCTCAAATGAGCTTTAAAACCTTCCTTCTCGCTCCAATGACCAAAGCCTCGGCCAAGAAGGTTTGAGAACTGATTCCTTGCTTGGAATTGAGTGTTAAACAGCCTCCTCAAAGTGCTAGTTCAACCCCTAATCGTTGATACGAAAACGGCCCCTAGAATGGGTGTTTTCCGGTTAACTCGTTTCGTAGTTTTCCAATATTTGCTCTAGGTTAGTATCTAACCTTTACATAAATAAAATAACCTTATGAAGACATATTATACACTTGGAGTAGTGTATAATAGTTCCACCAATCGTTCATATCATTTGGAAAATGAAAAGTAAAGGTTTGGGGTGAATACTCACTTTAGGAGAGTAAATCTGTTCCTGCGAGGTTGTGTTTTGCTCGGACGATTTGGAAGCCTTCCACTACTTCGATTGATTCAAACCAGACCTTCACGGATTCCTCGTCTTGAGAGCTTTCTTTTGGTATCTTATACGCCTTAATTGGACGAGTCAATCTCAAGTTATGGCTCAAACAATCAGCACTACGCACTGAAGAACGAACCTGCGGACTGCTCTCTTCCTTCCTTCTCTCTTGGGTTGTGTGGATGCGTTTTGCTCTCTTATCTCTTTGGGGTTCGAATGGGGTGTAGGGGGGAGTGTATAGGATACCTTAAACATGCTAAGAGAGCATGTGGCTCACCTCTTTTCCTTTGTTTTGCAGGTACCAAGTCCATGTGGAATGGTTCCCAATTGATCCCATTCAACTTGGGGTCCAAAATATCTACCAATACTTCCAAAAATGGGAAAATGGGTCCTATTTTTTTATCTTTTGCTAAAAGATGTCTTTTGTACTCATCCTAATTTATTTAAAACAAGTCAACTTCCGACATCACATTATTGATCTCCAATATGTGTAGGCTCATCTCAATAATTTACATGATGAATATTATAGAAGGAAAAATCCTACTCCCATTATTCAACTCAATAATGACAAAGATGGGACCATAGGCATTTGTATTCTTCTCTAGTCATTCTATCACTTATTTTGACATTGTCATTCATATTATTGGACTACTATCCGTGTGGGTCACCCTCGAGTGAGCCTAGGACGCCATCCTTGAATACTTACTATTTTTAGCAGGTCGAGTCCAAAATAATGTTTGGGCCGCCCAACCCTCCTCAACTTGTCTTGAAAGGTTATGTATCACAATTTAGATAATGTTAGGCTCTTTTATTTATTAATAAGGCCCAAACGAGTATTCGCAAGCCCGACACTAATATATGAGTTCGAATAGTATTAAAAAAAAAAAAAAAAAAGTATAAATGTATAATAATCGATCATTAATTACGTAAAACAACAATCGTTTTACAATTGTTTGGGAATCAGAAATTCAATACATAAACTTTGAATTTTTAAATTGAAATTTCAAGGACGTTCGGGTGCGGTGTCACATCCTTGATATGACTTCACCTGGTACAAAGGTGCAGGTAACAAGCTCTAGCTTCAACCTGAAAATGGTGCCCCCCCTCCCCTCCGAAGGGGTTAGTAGCAAGCTAAATGTAGAATAATTAACGTTTCAAGTATAAGATTCAAACATAGGGAGATACATATACTTATATTCTTTCCCTAAGTCTTGAAATACGTATCAGTATATATATATATATATATATATATATATAGGACAATGTTGAGGTAAGGTAGGCCTAAGAATTGTAATTCTTAGGCCTCTTTCATTTGAGGTGCTTTCGGGTTGAAATTTTTGATGAAATTTTGTGATCATATTCTCCATGGATTGAAGATGATGTCCACCAAGTTTCACAATAAAATTCAATCGGGAAGTCATTTAAATAAATTGTTGAAAAAAACTGTATTTTATATATGTAAAAACCTGCGCAAATTTGAAAAAATTATTAAACCGACTTCCCGATTGAATTTTTTTTCGAAATTTGGTGGGCATAATCAACACTTCATGGAAAACATGCTCACAAAATTTCATCAAAAAATTCATCTCAGAAGCACCTCAAATGAAAGAGGCCTAAGGATTTCAATTCTTAGGCCTACCTTACTTGAACATTTTCCTATATATATATATATATATATATATATATATATATATATATATATATATATATATATATATATATGTTTTGGTTCAAATAAGAACACGATCTTATGAGAAAAATGAGAACGAATCTGGACCGTTAGATTTGCTTCAAGTGAAATTCAGTGTGCATTAGATGAAAGTGTACTGTGCATTAGGTGAAATTGAAATGTGCATCACAAAGGGTACGATAGAGTGACATTATGTGCAGTTGAATTGTGTATTACATGAAATTGAAATGTGCACTGGGTGAAGCTGAAATGTGCAATATAAAAAATACGATGTGATGTTATTTTTGCACTTTTTCCCCCGCACATATCAGTTTAATCTAATGCACACTTGAGTTTAAATTTTTATTTTGCACATTTCAATATCATTTAATGCACATTTCAGTTTCACCAAATGCACAATTTGGTTCCACATAATACAATCCAACGGTCCAGATTCGTTCTCATTTTTCTCCTAAGATCTGTTCTTACCGGATCGAACCGATCCATACACACACACACACATATACACTTGGAAAATACCCGGTCCGTAGACCATTGTTTATTTGGGAAATGTTTGTAGTCAAGTCTTTGACTTAAAATCCCAATCCACCCAATACCTATGAGTGTAGGACTTCTCCCGGTCCAACCAAGTATCTTAAGGACACCGCCCGATCCTGAATTACTAAACTGTAATCTATGAGTTTTGAGGACAGTCCAGTCCCTGGATACTCCACCAATTTATTAACCGAGTTTTGAGGACAGTCCAGTCCCTGGATACTCCACCAATTTATTAACCAAGTTTTTAGGACAGTCCAGTCTCTGGGTACTCCACCAATTTATTAACCGAGTTTTTTTGTAACACTAAATGTACACATTCACACATCTCACCGTTTATTGCCAAAAAAAACTCATGATTTTTAATGACTGTAATTATACCTTTATGTGCACACATACATATTTTGAATTGCACCTTATATTTACAACTGTTGCATGACTCATTATCATTTTGAATTCTATGTGACATAAAATGATTGAGGTTTACAAAGGTGCATGTAATAAGCTCTAGTTTTTTAACCTTCACAATGAGGCTGCACTCGTACTTGTTTTCCCATAGTAATCACCTTATTCTTCTTTGACATCTTACTCTCACAAACTAGTGTTTTCTTTCTCTTTTGCGGTAATGTTTCACAGTTTTCTCCACTTCCTATTGCAATTGTATGATTAGTTACAATAGTAGAATTCATCATTAAATGCACCTAACAACACCTTCAAATGCACTATCACTTTATTTTTAAACATCATTACTACATGCCAATTGTTATTAATCACAAAACAACATACTATCATTCCTCATTCACTTAAATATACTTATTTCACTTATTCATTTAAATATGCTATTTAAATGCATCTATCAAAACAATAATTCAATCTCATTTACATGCACCACACTCTTCCAATAAATTCTAGGGAAAATGGTCAGATAGGCTCTCGAACTTACATAAAAAGGTCAAATAAGCCCTTATATAGGAGGCTCTGTCCCGCCGTCGCCATTTGGGGCGGTTCCCGGTGGAATTTTTTGATGAAATGTTTTGAGCATATTTTATTATTCATTAAGTCTAGTTTACTCATACCAAATTGCAGCTAAAACTTCAATCAGGAAGACATTCAAATGAATTCTTGAAGATAATTGGCATTCAAATTAATACTAAACTTTAATTTGTCGAAAAAAGTGGCATTGTTTGATACTAATCGGGTTTAGGTCCGAGACCGAACCGAACGAACCGTTTCAATAGTAACGGTCCAGGTACGGGTTCGGTAAAATATTAGACCGGACCGGACCGTGCCCACCCCCTAGATTTTTTACCCCTAATATAATTAATTAATTGCCTTCTAAGTCCCTTAAATAATCGGGTCATTCAATTAGTGACATGCGGTCCATTGATTTTTTGATCGATGAGAAAACGTAGGCTCCTATTGATGAAAACATTTTTTCTCAGGACCCCAACGATTGTAATTAGTGTATTGTGTTACCAGAAAATACTTTTAAAAGCATTGAAGTAATTCATCAAGTCTGCAGTATAACACTCCCTCCGTCGTATAAATAGTTCCCGCATTGACTTGGATCAGAGTTTAAGAAAGTGGGAATAAATGGAAATGTATGGTTGTGGTTGTATAAGAAAAAAGTAAATGAATATGAGCTACACAAAACTTTTCAAAAGAAAAAATGGGAACTATTTTTTGGGACGATCCCAAAAAGAAACCGAGAACTATTTTGCGGTATGGAGGGAGTATTCTACAACGGAGTATCATTTAACAATGTCACATTCCATGAAAACGGGATTAATTACCAAAAAATCCACATTTTCGTTTTTTTGTTCGGGCAAGGGAGACTAATGAATAGATGAAGCATCAAAACTCAAAAGCAACCCTAGTGGTCCCACAACCAGAAGCTTTAAATTCCCGTCTCGTTCTTGCTCTCGGACCCAACCCCTTCTTCAGTTCTTCCCTCCAAGCCTCAACGAACTCTATCGTCAAATCCACTATAAACCGCCTTTTCCTCCGTTTCACCCGCCTCCGCCGCCGTCTACTAGAGGTACGCATAATCCATTTACGATCTTCGTCGGAACAAATTCGCAATTTTCAGATTTCGTCTTTTCTTCTTTATTTTCATTCGTAATTCTGTCTAATAACGTTTTCATCAAATAAAATGGAATAACTCTTAGTTTTAGTTTTTTTATTGAATTGTAATAATTGAATATCAATTCATCCAATCACGTTCTCTGCGGTGTGATTCGATATATATTGATATACGCGAGGATATGAATGCGAGACACAGTTATTGCAGTTGTATTTGATATTTATCGCAGAGGCAGTGTATGGGGGAAAATATGAAGAAATTATCGTTTGTAATTTTGGTTTAATCCAGGGAGAAAAATGGATCAAGTGGCCAATGGCCTCCAATCTGATGAGTTTTACGGCGAAATAGAATCCCCTGATCAACAGTGCTGTCAAAGTAATACGGTCTTAAAACGTAGGTCAAGTTTGTTCGCCCCCACAATTAGTTCTTCTAAAAAAGTAAACACTGTGAAGATAGGTGAGATTGATGCTTATTTACTCTATCATTGTTTAATTTGTGACATTACTTGTGACGTTTTGGATATTATTCCTGTCACACTCGTTTGCTGTATTTAGAAACACCTTTCTGTGGTAATGTTATTACTTGGACCTAGTTTGCAGTTATTGATCTAGGGAGGCACTCTAGTGTGTTGATAATGATAATAATATGATATAATGATATATGATCACTCAACTTGACCCAAGTTAGGAGCCTCGATGTATCTGTTTAATGTCATGCAACTTTACTTGGTTAATGTGATTTGGGATAGTAATCTGCAAGATGAAGACAGCTTAATTTCTCATCATCATTCTTTTTAAGAAAATATTGACACTGTTCTATTTGCGTGAAATTAGTGTTAACTAATTAATCTGTAATTAATTTTAGATCATTAACTGACTAATAAATTTAAAGATTACATGAATATGCTTTCATATACTTCGTACGTATTTGCCTTTTAACACTCATCTAGTTTTGCTTACACATGTTTTTTGTTCTGCTATCAGGACAGTCTCAAACTCAATATAATAAGCCTCCATTGCCAGGAAAAACTTGTGAACTGCATATGAATAATAGCAGAGAGAAAATTGATCCAACTATCAAAGTCTCAACACGTGCTACTAAAAGAAATGGTAAGAGTTCGATCCCTAAAGAGGAGGGTACGGTCAAGGCCCAATCCTCTCAGCCCACCAAAGATTCTTTGACTGAGTCCCAAAGAAGTAGAGCCAAGAAAACTTTAGACCTCCAGCAGGGACAAGTAAACACCAATTCTGTTATTCCAACCAAAGCATCAACCAAATGTAAGAAAGGAAATGCCACGGCTGGAACTTCAACATCTCTCCAGAGTTCAATGGAAAAAGGGAAAACACACATGTCAGGTAGTCAGTCTAGAACGTCCACACGCAGTAAGAAGTCTTCCTCACCAAAAAAGAGCTTATCGAATAAAGACCACATCTACCATATCAAATATGATGGTAAGTTCTCTAAGGTTAATCAAATGCTCTTTATATTTTTACATGATTGATTTTCACTTTTATATTTGAGTCATATGCACTTTTACTGCAGTGCATTAGTCAATGTTGACAGTATAAGGCGACCCATGTTTGGCATGCTATAACATAGTTTTTTAGGTGAAGCTTTTCAAATACGTTCTGTTTGGTTGGAGCCTTGGATGAGCTTATTTGATAACCTTGAGATTATTTCATAAGCTTCTTTTAGCAATTTTAAAATAAGACCTTTTAGCAATTTATAAAATAAGGCCTATCTTTTCAACGTTCTTTTTGTGCACTTTGTATTTCAAAAATAGCTTAACAACAGGGGCGGAACCAGGCCGGGGCTAGCCGGTGCTGGCGCCACCCCTTCGCCGGACGTTTCAAGGTAGTAGTAGGAGATATATTCGTCCCGCCCCTGCATCTCCCGTCGTCCCGTCTCGTTTTGTTTCCATAGCCGGTGCCCTGGTATTTCTATGTTCGATTGTTAAAGATGCTGACCAATCATTTTAATAGGCTTAGCTCAACGACGACGTTTGACTGTGTTACTAAAAGGAAAAGAAACGACGTCGGATGTTTTTATGGTATTACTTTGTATTATTACTCCGTATTACTACGTATACTGGTAATAATAAGTTATACCAGTTTTGCCTTCGGTTAGCTTCCAGACTCCAGAGCAAGCAAAAACGGGGAAAGAGAAACACAAATTGGTGAGCCGGCGATTTTGAATCAGCGATTTTATTTAAGCCACGGCTGCTGGGTCGCACACTTCCAAAATTTCACCTCAACTAAGTCATATTTATTTAATTAATCAACTTTTTTATTTAATTTTTTTCTTGTTTGGTGTTTTAATTGTTTTCGTGTTTGGTGTTTGACCTAAGTTGGACTACCGGAGAATGGAGATTAATCGTCCTAGTTTGATTTTTAACTTAATGGAGTTTTCTTAATGTATTCTTCTTTGGTGTTTTAATGGAGTTTGTTTAATTGTTTCTTGTTTGGTGTTTTAATGGAGTTTGTTTTATTTAATTAGTTCATCTACTTGTTGGCATAATGACTGAGTAATTTGTAATTATTAATTATTAGTTATATAGTTCGATTCTTGGAGTAATTGTTAACTAATAATGACCAAATCACATTCTTTGTACTTAATACTTAATGTGTATTCAAATAAATAAACACAAAATTTGTTAATATATATGTGCTTAATGTGATACAGTACTAATGATTTTTTCTTTTGGACTGTTTTCAGTCCCAGATCAAACTTTCATTGTTATAAAATAAATTTACCAGACTAGAGCAAACCAGTTCAAACCAGATCATTAAATTTCCGTCCAAAAGATAACATTCTTAATACATATGTATTCCAATAACATGCATATAATTTATACATAATCTATACGGGGATATTTTATAGAAAACACTGAATAGGAGTAAAAACGTTTTGAAGTTCCAAATTAGAATTCTCATGTTTTTAATCACTAATAGAAGTAATTTTGTCATGTTTGAAAAGAAATATCATATTTAAAGCATAGTAATGTCAAACATGATAGAAATTACTCATATTTAGGAAACAAATACATGACAGTCTAATTTTAGAATTTTAAAACTTGTTTACCCCTATTTAAGTAACTTTCCTTGTATACAAATTATCAATAATTTTGACCCGGCTTAACATAGGATCTTCACATATTTTATCGCCCCCCCTAACAAAATAGTCTGGTTCCGCCACTGCTTAACAAGCACTTTTATAAAACAGCCTATCACTAATATTGAGCTCTTTTCGTCAACAAGCAATTCTCCCTCCATAAACTATTCATCAACTAAGTAATTATTGTCCATTTAGCAGACCAATAAAGTAAAACATAGTGTAATGATGGTGTCCCATATTTGTATTTCACTTTTGGTTGTTATATTTAATACCTAAACCTAATTGAGGGCGTGTTTGTGAATTTATGAAAAAGTGTATTATCACCTTAATTACTACAATTTTTTCATTCATGGACAATTTTTGTAAATGGACGGAGAGTAAGATATGAACTATCCACTCCTAATTAACGTGTCACCTATTGTTAGTGTTCATACTTATTTTGGTAATTATGCATTTAATGTTTCACAGATTGTTAAGTTTACATAATTGTGACAGTGTGCCAAGCAGCCAAGATTAACAAATAATAATACTTCCTCCTGCATTGCAGGGTTCTCTAAAGAACTAAAAAAGGTTGGAGTTACATGTGTTCTATGCGAGGAAGATCTGTCCTGCATCTCGTCCGATTATGAATATCAATATTACGAGGATCAGGAAGAGTCTGGACCTATGAGTTACCCAGAAGTTGCTGTTTTGCAATGCGGTCATTCTTTCCACTTTAGATGTTTTGCTTATTCTATACCTGATGAACTGTGTTTTGATCCTCCTTGCGTGTTATGTGCCAGCTACGAGACTTGAAACCCTTCACAATTTAGTTTCAACAGATTTGTATACATTCTTTTTTGAAATAATTTTTGTGGGCCCTAATTGTGAAGTAATGAAAGTTTTTCAATGTAAGGTTAGGTAGCTTTTTCGTGGGGTTCACTTTGAACACAACAAATTTCTTGCTAGTACTGTGTGATTGCCTAGAATGTAGGGATCAGTACAAATGGTTAATCGCAATTTGAGTTAACCAATTCTCGGTTAATTGGGATTTCGGTTAGTATATTTTCAATATCATTACTCGTACCATAACATGGTTTAAAATCTAGATTTAAACAGAAGTGGTTAGTTAACTGGTGTATTTTCTGATGCAACAATATGTGATGATACACGAGTATCATCACCTACACACTTTTTGGCATCTTTGAGCAGATTAGAAGGGGATATAGAGACCCTACAGAGTATAAGGAAGGGCATTTTGGGAAAAAATGGCTAATTTTTCAGAAATATGTTAGAGCTTACGTATTGGAACTCCTGTAGTTCACATCAGCTTCTTCCTCATCTACGAGTAAGATTGGGCAAATCTGCAAACTGGAAGTAGCAAGTCAACAATTGATGATATTCCAAACACTTTGGCTACACTTGATAGATTGCTTCTTTGGGTTCGCCATGAGGGTGACCAGTTCTCCAATCAAGAAAAGAAGATGAGTGTTTGAGGAGGAAATAAAAGAAGGGGATGATTTGACTCAGGCTTAGGGTAGGGTTGCTGAAATATGAAATCGTGTGATTAACTTTAGGTTATCATTTTTCAAAAAAAAAAATTAGGTTATCACTTATCACTTGATCGATGGAAGGTGAATTTCAAACCTGTAACCATATTGTGAGCCGCTTTTATTTTTATTTTATTTTTTAAAGGAAAACAAGCATATATATTAAATTAGAACTCGTAGTACATCCAGAAGAAGTTGCAAACAATAAACGTAACACCTGGGACCTGACACAACCCTCCCTCTAATCAAACATAATCAGAAGCCCCTCGGCCCCCTCACTTCTTTATAAGACATAGAGTAGTTCCGCCCAAAAAGAGCGAGACTAATCGCTGAAAATGTGAGAGTTTTGAGGCTATTAGCGGCTGAATCAGCATAATTGCCTCTCACCAGCAATCTAAAAACTAAGGTAACCCAGACTTGAAAACTACTAGTCTTCTTATATGACCTAAAGGAAGCAAAATAAAGATTACCAAACAAAATATAGAAAAAATAAATAAATAATAGTTGCAACGCTATTTTCGAAACCCTAGTCTCGTAATTTCTCTATGGTGGCGGTTCAGGAGGGGGACGAATCACCCGCCTACCATCTTCTTCTTTCACCGCCTGAGGCGGCCAGAACACCCGCACCTATTCCCAACAGCCAAATGGAGCCTAGAATCACCCCCTTTAATTGAACCCCATAGCTCCAGTGTTCCACCCGGATTAAACGCAACTGGTGCAACTTCCATCTCAGCCATCATCAGTGCTAAAATAGCCAAACCAATCATCGGAATCTCGGGTCTCACAACCCTTGCCGCCGCAGATCCACTGTCGCCTTTGAAAGCACTGAAATACATTTGCCCCACTCTCTGTCGCGCAAAACTCTTGGCCTCCTTGTTCGTTAACGGTGCTTTTCGCAGCAACTTCTAATCGTCCCCCTTAATCGCAAACAGAAACAGTCCCCTCTGCGATAAGCTTCTAAACACGAACCTCCAAAGACCTCATTCTGCATATGGATGGACTCGGGCCGGGCGGCCCGACCCGGAACCGGCCCGGCCCGGTGGATACCGGTTCCGGTCCCGGGCCCTCCATTTGGTGAACCGGCCCGGCCGGTTTGGGTCTGGTCCGGGCCGGAATTAATTTTTTTTTTTGTTTTTTTTTTGTTTTTTTTTAAGTTTTGGGTTGGATTATGGATTTTGGGCCATTTGAGGTGGTTTGGGGTGGCTTGGGGTTGAGGGGGAGGGATAGGGGGTTAAATAAGAGAAGCAAAAAAAAATTATGACCCGGGTGGCCCGGCCCGGAACCGGCCCGGTCTGGCCCGGAACCGGGAGTCACCGGTTCGGGTCCGGGCCCTCCTTTTGGTGAACCGAGGCTCGTCCGGTTCAAGGCCCGAACCGGGCCTGGCCCGGAACCGGTCCAACCCTAATATTCCCGCACTCTAGCCAATGTCTTGCTAGCGAAAAACCAGGACACTCTCGCCGTGCGATTCACAGCGCCGCCCGCCAAAACTCCGCAAACGATGGTCTAAAACCCTAGCTGCACCTGATTAAAATCTATCCGTCCTATAATGTTAGCACCAAAAAGAGAAAAACAAAACCATGTTTGTGAGCCGCTTTTCTATTCAGCCGTTTTATCATACCGTGAGTTTTTAAAGATTTGGTACATTTAACCAAAACAATGGCGGTTTTTTTGTTCTCCATTTCAATTACGGTTGTTCATGCTCACCCCTCCTAGAATGGTTAGTTTCAACTTGTATAATTGGGACTCTGGGCTTGACCACATACAGATTAGACCATCAGTAGTGTGGGGTGTACCATGTGAAGGGATGACGAGTTTCTAGATCTATACGAGCTGCATTGACTATTCACTGGCGTTGAGTTCAGTGGCGGAACCAGACTATTTTGTTAGGGGGGGCGATAAAATATGTGAAGATCCTATGTTAAGCCGGGTCAAAATTATTGATAATTTGTATACAAGGAAAGTTACTTAAATAGGGGTAAACAAGTTTTAAAATTCTAAAATTAGACTGTCATGTATTTGTTTCCTAAATATGAGTAATTTCTATCATGTTTGACATTACTATGCTTTAAATATGATATTTCTTTTCAAACATGACAAAATTACTTCTATTAGTGATTAAAAACATGAGAATTCTAATTTGGAACTTCAAAACGTTTTTACTCCTATTCAGTGTTTTCTATAAAATATCCCCGTATAGATTATGTATAAATTATATGCATGTTATTGGAATACATATGTATTAAGAATGTTATCTTTTGGACGGAAATTTAATGATCTGGTTTGAACTGGTTTGCTCTAGTCTGGTAAATTTATTTTATAACAATGAAAGTTTGATCTGGGACTGAAAACAGTCCAAAAGAAAAAATCATTAGTACTGTATCACATTAAGCACATATATATTAACAAATTTTGTGTTTATTTATTTGAATACACATTAAGTATTAAGTACAAAGAATGTGATTTGGTCATTATTAGTTAACAATTACTCCAAGAATCGAACTATATAACTAATAATTAATAATTACAAATTACTCAGTCATTATGCCAACAAGTAGATGAACTAATTAAATAAAACAAACTCCATTAAAACACCAAACAAGAAACAATTAAACAAACTCCATTAAAACACCAAAGAAGAATACATTAAGAAAACTCCATTAAGTTAAAAATCAAACTAGGACGATTAATCTCCATTCTCCGGTAGTCCAACTTAGGTCAAACACCAAACACGAAAACAATTAAAACACCAAACAAGAAAACAATTAAATAAAAAAGTTGATTAATTAAATAAATATGACTTAGTTGAGGTGAAATTTTGGAAGTGTGCGACCCAGCAGCCGTGGCTTAAATAAAATCGCTGATTCAAAATCGCCGGCTCACCAATTTGTGTTTCTCTTTCCCCGTTTTTGCTTGCTCTGGAGTCTGGAAGCTAACCGAAGGCAAAACTGGTATAACTTATTATTACCAGTATACGTAGTAATACGGAGTAATAATACAAAGTAATACCATAAAAACATCCGACGTCGTTTCTTTTCCTTTTAGTAACACAGTCAAACGTCGTCGTTGAGCTAAGCCTATTAAAATGATTGGTCAGCATCTTTAACAATCGAACATAGAAATACCAGGGCACCGGCTATGGAAACAAAACGAGACGGGACGACGGGAGATGCAGGGGCGGGACGAATATATCTCCTACTACTACCTTGAAACGTCCGGCGAAGGGGTGGCGCCAGCACCGGCTAGCCCCGGCCTGGTTCCGCCCCTGGTTGAGTTGCACTCCAAGCCTCCAACCATGACTAGTCAGTTGCTCTGAGTTGTGCTCCAACAATCCAACCAAATGGGTACTGATTGCCAAGCACTATGCTTTTTCTTCAAATGAAAATAGGGAAACAAAAAGACACGAAAACATTGATGAAATTTACACATGGAAAGAAATCTCAAGAATGCGCCTCATTTTCAAGAATGCGCCCCATTTTAAAGGAGTTAAGTTCAGGTTATGTATTTTCTCTAATCACTCATTCAAGGACTCAAGGTATAACTCTTATGTAGTACGGACTACAGAGTATATGTCACAGATAACCACTTTTTTCTAAGATTGTCTTATGAAGTTGATTAATACCCAAATCCTTGACTTTGCAAGTTTGCATCAACTTTACTTGAAGATTAAAGACATAAATATAGGCTTCCTTTTTTGGAAATCAAAGCAATTGAAACATGATATTTTAAGGGAGGGATTATTAAGAATGTTTTACTGATTTTGGATCTCAATTTAGGGCCTTTAGGCTAAATTTGACAGAACATGACAAAAACCGAACAAATCAAAAATAGAAAATTTAAAGTTGCTTCCATATTAGTTGGTATGATCCCTATGAATGTTTTTACTTGCACTGTTTTCAGTCTCACACCAGATCAAACCAGACCAGATCAAACCAAACTAGACGTTGACAGTTATAAAATACACAAAAACCTGACATTTACCAGACCAAACTAATTCAGACCAGATCAGAGCGGACCAGAAAATTCCAGTCTAAGTAAAAACATCCTATGATGGCAGATTGGCTGGTAGAAATAGTGTTGGACGCGGGCCGG